AGGTCCAAATCAGACATCTATCATTTATGTTCATGTGGTCTCAACTCTCTGTTTTCATTTTAAGTTTTGCTGTACAACTGCTCACTAGCAACCACTGCCCAGACTCTTTGTTCGCATGATCTGGGAGAGCTGCCTGGTGGGCTGTGTGTTGCACTGGATCAGGCAGGCTGGTTAAGAAAAATGGGGAGATGTACTGAAAGGTGAGTAACAACTGAACTTCTTTTCTGATGCAGGCTACGTGTGTGATCCCATGAGCCCGATGCACTTTCATTCTTGTCGGAATAGTGGCAGCTTTGAGGACAGCAACTGACAGCATTCAGCGTATACCTAAGGAGAGTTTTTCCCAAATTGACAGCAATAATTCCAACCATGGCAGGCTTGCTTCCAATTACAATATTTTACCCTCTACGGTCTCCTTAAATTGGCTTGTTTATACTAGTCCTATTTAATTCTCTATCTCAAATTGGGCTTTGGATTTGTAGCTAAAGAATTAAATGCAAAAGAACCAAGATAGAATGAATATGAAGAATTGCTTTTAATTTTGTAAATGAAAAAACAAATGTATCTTATTACTTGGAGATGGGGCCTAAGTCTGTGGTGGGCACTAACAATTCCTATGTTTTCCTAGGCTGAATTATGTAGACTTGTGTTTGAGAGCTCTGGGTTTGATTTCTTAGAATATTGTTCATTATTTTCTTACCTCATTATGTTACTTCTGGTGTTCAGCTCTGTGATTAAAGATTCTTTGGTGACACAGAAAATTGATTCAGAAGTGTATTTCATTCCAACAAGATATCCACCAAGTATATCTTCTTTCAGACATATTGGTAAAAAGAAGTAATGACCTCAGATCAAGAAGCTTGAGAAAATATAGCACTTAATTATTTAGTCTCCTTTCCACATCATACCAAGTGCTCTGTGCTCTCCTTAGGCAACCTGTTACTGTCAGTATGAAGATGTCATAAAGGCTATTTGGTCAATAGTAAAACCAGCCACTAATGCAAACCTGTCATTTAAACCAGAGTCTGGCACAGTGCAGTGGGAGGACACCTAAGGTGCCTGCTGCCTTCGGGAAACAAGAAAGCTGCCCTCCATGCTGGTTCCAACCAGGAAGACAGGAATGGTCCCATCAGATAAAACAGTTTTGCCACTGAAATGCAGACTTGGAAAAAATAGCAGAAAACCATGAAAATTCAATGATAATTCCTGCTTTTGACCTTGGCAAGAGAAATAAAATTAGCGAAGGAACATTGGGCATCCTCTAAATCAAGGTTTCTCAACCTTGGCACTATTGATATTTTGGACAGAATAGTTCTCTGTTGTGTGGGTTGTCTCATGCACTGTAGGATATTTAACAACTTCCTAGCCTCTACCCCCAGATGCCAGGAACACTCCATGTGATAATTAACTTTATGTATCAACTTGGCTGGATCATGGGATGTCTAGATATCTGGTTAAACATTATTTTGGGTTTGTCTGTGAAGGTGTTTCCAGAAGAGACTGCCCTCCCCAGGGTGAGTGGGCAGCATCCAATCCACTGAGGGCCTGAATAGAGCAGAAAGACGAGAAAGCGCGAATTTGCTCGCTCTCTGCCTGACTGCTTGAGCTGGAACGTCAATCTTCTCCTGTCCTTGGCACTCCTGGTTCTCAGGTCTTCAGACTCAGACTAGAACATAAACCATTGGTTCTTCAGCTTTTAGGCTTTTGAACTATATACCAGCTTTTCTGGGTCTCCCACTTGCAGACAACAGATCATGGGACTTCTCAGCCTCCATGATTGTGTGAGCCAATAATGTATAACACACACACACATCTCCTATTGCTTCTGTTTTTCTGGAGAACCCTGACTAATACACTGTCCCCACCCCTGCCTCCTTCCCCCTGCCCCCCACCACTCCCACCACCACCAAGTCATGACAATCAAAAATGCTTCCAAACAGTTTTAAATGTGCCCTGGTCGAGACCCACTACTCTAAATTCAATGCAGACAACTATGGGCCTAAAGAATAAAGAAAGGACTGTAGAGCCTGACTCCAACTGGCTGCATTTAGGTATATCTGCTTTCTCCTTCTCCTGAAGTAATGGGGTCTCATATACAAACAGAACAGGATAGTAGAAGTGCTGATTGCTCCCTGGATGTGTGTGACAAGCTCCTCTATTCCCCTGCCAATTAGAAACTATGCTCCTAGAGGGCAATTTCTTTCAGGAGAATAGCAACCCTACCTCTCAATTCCCTTTTAGCCTCTTCTTATGATCTGTGGTTGCAAAGTCACAAGTCTCCACACTGATTAACTTGTGGATAGCCCAGTGTGGGTCCAGAGACAGAAATTAAAACCATGGTACTTTCAACTGGATTTATCCTTTTTTAGCCTGCAGCCTTTTCATTTCCCCACTCAATTACTCCAGAGTCACAGGTGCTCTATCCCACCAGGCAAGTTCCCAAAAGGCTTTATAATAAGCAGGACCAAGGAACCCGAGGTGACTGCTCAGGTGTAAACCCTTCTGGCAAAGACAGAGAAGTAGAAAAAGGAGCTGGTTGAAGAACACCTGTCTCCATAGCTCTCCTTCTATTCCTTTGCTCTTGCTACTCTAGGGAATGAGCCAGCACCTAGCCTGGGATACTTTGGAGCTTAATCCTTTCATGAATTGAGTTGAAAGAAATACATTAGAAAGTTAAAAAAACAAACAAAAAAACTCCAAAAAAACAGTTTTAACTAAGAGTCATAGTACATGTAATACCGAATGTGTGCATAATCAGGACAATGGACAGTGCTGGGGTAGACGAGGTGTCCTCCCAGGTTCCCACTAGATGGAGGTCATATCCAGAGGGAGGCCTGTTTGTGAACTGCCTCTCTTTTAGAAGGGGATTTTCTAGAACAGATTTTTTTAGCTCCCTTTCTTTGTTTCCTCTAATTAGCCACCTCCTCTCTCCACACTGCATTTCCTTCTGTTGCTGCTTCCCTCTGGCTCTTGTCTTGTCAAGTATCTGCAAATAATGAGACTAATGTGTCTTGATTCCTGAGAAGGAGGACCTTTTCGCAGATGCCAACCTATAGCTCACAAACCCTTTTCATTACTGCACCCTTAATGGGGCCTAGGGATCGTCTTAGAGCTTGTCTCAAGACCATAGGTTTTTTGCTTTTTTTTTTTTTTCCTCCTTGCCGAAAAATGTCTCACTAATTGCTTCTTTTTCTGCTGGTAAAAAATGAACTTCTAAGATCATGTTTTTGCATGCTTAGCACATTAAATTTTTTTTCCATGTGCATGCAGCACTGAGCTCACTCCGAAGATGTTCAATTAACTATAATTGTAAGCCAAATTACAGCAGCACCAGGAGAGAGTTATTCCAACAGAGTGATTATTTGAGTTAAATTATTTCCAAAGCTGACATTTCCCTAGGAAAGAGAAAAACATGGGTGCTTGTGGTAGGAGAAAAGGCTAATGTTAGGCAATCCATCTAAAATGAAGGGTCTGATTTTACTCTCTGTTTCTCATTCTCTCTTTTTCTTTCTTTTCTTAATTTTCTTCCTTCCTTCCTTCCTTCCTTCCTTCCTTCCTTCCTTCCTTCCTTCCTTCCTTATCATTCCTTTCTTCCTTTCCTCTCTCTCTCTCGAACAATAAGCATTGGCTTTGGAATCACTCAGATCTCCCATAGTAGTTGTGTGATCTTGGACAAGTCACTTAACTCTCTGAGCTCCAGTTTATTATTTGTAAAATGGTGACAATAAAATTTATCTTCTAGACTTTCTGTAAGGATTCCAAATGAGGGAAAGTGAGCAGTATAGTTCCTGGCACACCATAGTAGATGTTGTTGTTTGTTGTTTCTGTTACATCACCATGCATCCAAAGAGCGATAACATAAAAAGAGCATGAAAAAGGTGGAGATGTTTTTCTCCCTGCAAAAATAACTATCAATGTTCCTAAAAACTCCATCTTCGCAAACAGCAAGCTTCCAAGCTTTTTCCTCTGAGGCAGTTTGAGCCAAGACCCAATAGACCTTAGATAGCAATGTCTTATTTATACCCGAAATAAAATAAGGAAAGAAATCAAATTTTTCAGTCAAATACAATAACAAGAAAGAATTCCTTAAGCAAAGGGAAATGCTAAGTGAAAATAGAAAAATAACTTATTTACTGAGCACCTACTATGTGGCAAAAATAGTTTTAGATTACTTAAAATGTGTCATTTGACTTAATTTTCTGTATGGTCCTGGAAAGGAGGAATTTTTAAATTTATTTTTGAAGTGGGAAATTCATGCTCAGAGAAGCAAAGTAACAAATCCAAGCTGGTATAGGATAAAGCCAGGCTTCAAAACTAGTATTGCCCAGCACTCAGATCTATGATTTGTTCACTATACAATACTGCCTGCACTGTGGTGGAGAAAAAGGTAAAAAAAAAATAGCACATGTTCACAATTCAGAATTGTGGTAAAAGTGAACAAATATGCAGTTCTGCAGTCCTGAGGAAAATTTGGAAACTACCACAGGAGAAGTTTCAGGGACCAGAAAAACAAACCTTTCCTGATTGCTATGGTTCGTTACTGCAAAGTAAAACCAAACCAAACCAAAACAAAACAAAAAACCAATCATCATCATTTTCTCTGTTATAATTATGGAAGAGAAGGGGCTGAAATAATTTCAAGGCTCAAAAAGCATGCATTGTTATTGTCTAGGCAGAAAGAACCAGAAATGATTGACAGAAACAAGACTGTCACCATGATAAGCAGGAACAAAAAAGTTATGAGGGCAAAGCACAGCAATTAGGGAAGCCAGGGAGTTTCACATTTTCCTTTCCTCATTAGCACACTGGGTAGGGAAAGAGAGGAGAGATGGTATAGCCATTACCAGTAGGATATGAATACCTTATTTCTTCCTGGTTTTCTGTTGCTTAGAGTTACTCAAGCATGCAGACTTAAGGGCTCCCCCTGATCAATTTCCTCCCGTATTTCAAGAGCCACGAGGGCAAAGACGAGCCATTTGACATTTGCAGTCCCTTCACTGGGTATCAGTTCAAGACTCAGCTGCAGCAATAACAGAGTGTGGTCCAGAACTGTCAGTTCAATTAGCACCGTATGCAAAACATGATGGAGAAGTAAAGTTCCTCTCTTTCTTAGGACATCCTACCTTTTATGGAGCTAACTAGAACTAAAAAGAGCAGGGGTTGCACATTTCTCCTCAGGCCAGAGATCCAAGGTGGCACAGCAGCCGACCCAGTGGCAGGGTGCTAATTAAATTAGGCTTCTTGAATTAAAACACTGCCACGGGTGCCAGGCCCTGCTGATGAGGACACATCTCTAACGCACTCCCAGACTAGCTTTATGTTTAATTAGTGAGATAAAAAGAATATTATCTCAAGTATCTGTCTTTTAAGCAATGGGCTCATATGCAGAAGAAAGGTACCTTCACTATCTTTAAAGAAGGTTTTTAAGCTCACTAATTTCACTGACCTCCATTTCTTCTTTTATCTCAACTAATCAGGAAAGGGTAAAATTGAAGCAAGACCATGAAATTCCATAAAAATAACTTGAATGTTGGTTTGCCCTTCAGCTTTTTACTCATAATAATCCATAATCGGCTTAAGACCACTTCAAAAATTAGTCCACAGTGAAGAACATCAGGTTCTTTAATCGTATTTATTTTTTTTTCCTGAAACTCAAGTTAGTTTAAGGAAAAAGAATCAATGTCAATACTAAGGATACTTTCAGGTGGTCAGAATAAAAGTGAATAGGGCACTGGACCACATGTGTTCATACTATACCAGG